GAACTATAAAATGAACTTTTACTATATATCTTCCTCGATTTTCTTCAAAAATATGCAAACTTGTCTAGAAAAACTTTTAAGTAAGAGTATTACAAAAACAACTTAGTTTTGAGGTGCTTTAAGAACACAGTAGTTCTAAATCGAAAATTGATTTTCTAAAGAGTTTAAGTTCTATCGACAACCTAAGAAGTATATATATATATACTAATTTTATTGCACGTGCGTTGCATGTGTATACCAAGTAAAGCTACTCAGCTTGTTACCTTTTATGATGTATCTAATATCCTCAAATAGAAGTATTTTATGTGAATGTAAACAACACATACAAATAAAAGTACAAATCAAATGCAGTCCAATATACTAAAACTATTTTTAGTGAAATTTGATCAAGCCACGGCTGTCAATTAATCATAGTTTATTTTAAAATCATTAAACTTGAAACTATTTAACGTCATTCCTACCTATAGTAAGTATGCTCAGAGTGAATGAAACTATGATTTCAGTTACAAAAGAAACCATAGAGCTACATTTTCAGATAGAAGTGCTCTTTCTTCTAGGGAATTGAATTACCCTAAAAGAATTTCTAATTTTCCAACTTAATATATGAAAGATAGATTTGGTAATTGACAAAGTCCGAGTCAGTACCAAATGGAGCAAGAAATAAAAACACCAAAAGGAAATACAAAATTTTACTTTAACAACCATGTAACTATCCTTCTTTGGAGAATAAAAGAAAGATTAAACTATAATTCCTTTACCATATATCTTACTATAATTCCTCTCTTTGCACCAATTATAGTCCCCATATTTTTCACTTCTATCTGCTTCTTTTCTTTAATCCACTAAATTATACTCCATATATGATTGTTTGATATCTAAAAAAAGAAGGAAGATTTCAGACGCGCAAGAAACATTGAGACAAAGAAGGCTCGTGCGAAATAATATTATTTTTTTTCAAATTATCACCATGTCCAGGAATTTAGGGATTTAACAAAAACTCTCGCTTACGTGTAGAAGCTCATCACAATTCACATAAGAGATCTACCCTAACATTATTTATGAAATCAAGTTTTAGAAAAATCATAAAGCACAAAAGTTCATAAACAGTTAAAGATTTAAAGAGTAGAACCTGATATTGTTATCACTTTCTCCCTAATTTATTACTTTGACTTTACTATTTGTGATTAGTCTCATAGAAATCTTCTAGCTCTACTTGCTTCTGACGTTCAACATTGTAAATTTAAGTGCCATAACATCAACAATATTAAAAAGCAATGTTCAGTTTGCTTTAAAGAGAAATCAGTTTTGAACTTAAAGAGAATGACCTCAGAGTCTTAGCATGTTTTCTGAAATGCATATTTCTCCTATAAGATAAATATTCCAAGCTAATGAGAAATCTAATTACTCAACAAAAAAACAGAAAGAAAGAAAAAGGAAATCAAAGAATGTCATGTCATCAAATTTAGACATAGTGAAATATAAAATGAGGACCTTATGCGGTCTTATAATCCAATCCTAGAATTAAAAAAAAAAAAAAAGAGAAAGAAAATCATTTACTTTGTCAGGACTTAAAAGAAACTTTTATAAGCTAAAACCATTTAATTGCACTCCTCCAATTAAATTGTTTTCTGCCCATATAGTTTTTATTCTCGAGCTCGAACTCAAAATCTTTGATTAAGGAAGATAATCCTTACCACCCTATCACACTCATGATAAAATTAAATACACAAGTTACTACCTAATTTCTCCGTTCTTAAAAAATCCAATAATTTTAGGAACTTTACCTATGAAAATTAGCTATATAAAAATTTTTAATCTGAAATCCAAGTCAAATCTCTTCAATAAGTAAATTGGTAAACCCTTTTTTCTTACGTAATAAGAAAATCTGCTCTATCACATGTCCACCATTGGAAAAAAAATATTAAAGTGCGATCAATTATACATATGGAAAAACCCTTTCAATCTATTTCTTCTATTTTGGAACCCTAGTCAACTAAACAACAAAAAGACTATTATAATTTTATAATTAGAACGCTACATTTTTTATTTGATCTCCTAAACTGTTTTTGTTTATCAGTGTTTTGTTATGAAAAACTTGAGATGATTTAACTAAATAAAGTTAAATTGAATAATATCTTTGTATTATTTCATACATCATGATTAAAACTAAAGATTAAAGGATAACCTGAGGAAATATTTTTGGACATTATTCTGATATTAGAAAAGATTAATTTATCTGAAGAGGGATTGATCAATACAAATTTATTTCTCTTAGAACGATAATATGAATGTATCAAAATGTATCTATAAAGGTGTTCAACTATTGTTATTATATTCTCAAATATTTTGTTTAAATGCTCAACAATAACTATAGGGCTTTGAAACAATGTGCTAAAATTTATTATATTGGTCACAGTGCCAATGGTAAACTAAGTAACTAAAGCACAGAGCAATATTCGGACTATAAAAATAAAATACATACAAATAGCATAAACAAATTGAGCAGATAAAAACGTATCCATTATTTTGAGTCAGAAAGAATTGCAGAAACAATAATTCAAAGAATGAACGCACCTTAAATAAGAAATACTTTATCTTTAAATTTCATTTTGAGAATCTCTTTGGCAGAAAGATAGTGACGAACATACCAAAAAGTTTAATGACAATCTTTCCCTCGTAATAGAGACATGAACAGAGAAACCCAAGCATGCACCATATGAAAAATAGGTGACACTTGGGCTGTTTGTAGACGTTAGCAATTTCAAACAGGTGTATGAAACGTTGGTGCATTAAATTTTTTTTATATTATTAAATAGGATAATTAGATTTTTAAGAAGACAAATTGCTTGATTCAAGAGAAATGAAAATTTAAAGTTTAATATCATTTTGACTTTGTGGAAGGATATAAAGGAGTGTCTTTATTTAACATAAGATTAATAAACAAATGAACAGGAAAATACAAAGAAGGGAATGTATCGTTTGGTGAAGGTTCGCTTGGACTCTTCGTGACGTTTGGTGACTTTGGCTTAGGACTCTTCGTAGGAGTTTCTTTTTTTATTTTTTATTTTTTTGGTTATAGTAAAAATAGGTCTTTAAGATAAGAGGGGTATAAAAGTAAATATCAAAGGATTAATATTGCACCAGTTAATAAATATCAAAGGGCACATCCATTCGGTTTGGGGTGTTTTGCATGGCATTTTTTTTCTTTTTTTAACTAAAAATAATAATTAAATTATTTAGAAGAGTATTTAGGTAATTTAGCTTTTAAGTTAGGGAGTTCATGCTTTTAATATAGTATAGACAGATATATAAACAGTTAATTAGGTAACTGACAAGATAACTATAGATAAATCTCTATGATAAATAGTACTCCACTCATAACCTTATAATTATAATACTGCGTAACTAACCTACTATGTATATAAGCTATTGTATACCATGCATCAATATATATAATTTAAACTATATATACTTTTGGGAAACTCAATTAATAAATGGCAGAAATAAAATGTGTTGAGAGTAAATATACCAGAACTGAGAAGTGAGAGCAGGTCCAGTGGGGAAATGAGAGAGTTCAGTGCCAATGCTATCAAAGAAAAGCCCACTCAAACTCTTGCCATTGATTACTGGAATGCTAGAAGGAGCCAGCCATCCAATCAAACCAAATCCAATCACATTCAAGTCTCTCCTCAGCCAATCTCTTTGAAAATTACTTCAAAACATCACGTGGTAAAAACAATTAATCATCTATAAATACTCCCCCAGAGGGAAAAGAAAATGGAAATATATAAACCATTGTAATTGGATGGAACCTTATTTGGTCATTTACCATGTAAATTTGCCTCCTGAAGCTTGTGCTACCCTTAATGGGTTTCTTGCTGTCACTGGTGATTTCAACAAGCCTGTAAAGAGAAAAAAGAAGAGATATTATTATTCGTCATTGAAAAATTTACACCATAAGTTCAATTTAACTGGCTATAGCATGTTAATACCTTTTTCAGGACAGGCTTGTTACAAAGAATTACTACCTATCATTGTCAATCAATTTAAGGTGATGGAACAGAAAATCTATACCTGAGCTGAGGCAAGCTTTCTTTGGAGAAGAAAGAGATGAACTAACTAAGCCTACAACAGCGGACATTGTTGCTGCCATTTTTGCTTCTCTGAATAGTATTTCAGTTAGTGTCACTAGGAATAGAGAATGGAAGAAAATTATTGATAAATTATATAAGTGGACAGCATAGATATTTGGGAAATCTGTGGTGACAAGTATGATTGTCTCTTTCATAAAATTCATAGACCTTCTCTTGATCAATGCCTTATTGCCATGTGGATTTTTATGGATAAACTGGTCTGTGTTTTGGATAAATGGGCTCTACTTACTGCCTATTGGGAACCGTGTTTGGTTTCAATTTTTCATTCTCATATTAATAACTCCGACATCAGTTATTATATATAATTATTTTACTCCATATTTAAGATGAATAAAAATATGTGTATTACACAAATGCTTTAAATTATGACTTGCTTACATAATCATCTTGATTAACATCTCCCGTTACTTCTGATAATGTTAAAAGCGCTAATTTTGTAAATATAGGAGATTGTTTAAATAAAATATTCATGTATACATCATTGATTTTTCTCTTAAAATGTTTTATTTTATATAACTAAAATTTCAATTATAAATATTTTAATTTATAATCATGTTATGTTAATTGCTTTAACTACCTGTGATGATAAAACCAAACATGATACTGGACCAAGTGATTTGTCATGGGTAAAGCGTATTACTAGTAACAAATCATTGAAATCAAACACATTTTCTGGATGATACAATGTATTTAGATTTTGATACAAAAAAAATAAGCATCCACTTATAGATGTTAATAAAGAATATGGTTTTGATGTTTGAACTCGTAAAGAAAAATTTCGCTAAGTACCTACTAGGTTGTCTTTAGTTTTCTTAATTTTTTTGTACTGAACCGGACCAGGCTAAGATCATCATAAGAATAGTTTGCACATTCACATGATTCTCGCTAATAGTATTACAAGGAACAAAATTGGAGTGTCCAGACAGGTAAAACCCACAAACGAAAACAACTATATATCAGAGAGGTTAAACTCCAAAAACTAACGCAAAAAATAAAAAATAAAAAACAAAAAAAAAACAAAAAAAAACAAAAAAAAAACTATAACTATACATAGCGGGTCTCACACAGACACCATAAACAGAAGGAACCCCCCTATACACTTGATCACTTGATCCTCTTTCCGCTCCAGTAAACACAATGTATTTCATTAGACGAATTAGAAGAGTTCCACTTCATATTATGAATGATGAGCATTTAGCACTGCCCGGTATACCATGTCAATGAATTGGTCATCCTGTCATGGAAATAAAGATCATATCAGATGCACGAAAAGACCAGAAGAGAGCATATCAAATAAAGACTTGTAACAGGAAAGAATAAGCATAAGAATAATTGGAATAGGAAAAGAAAAAAAAGATACAAACATTACCAGCAACTCTATCAAGAATAGAATAACACATGAGCATAGAACGCTACTACAATAGCCCCTCATCTACTAGAGTCGCTCACTAGTTCATAATAACTGAATTCAGAATCTTTTCATTGTTCCCGCATCTCAAATTCTTAGAACTTTAGATATTGTTCAGCATGCTTGTATTTTACAGTTTTTCTCTGTTCTCCTGCAAAATTCTGTGGTTTTGGTAGAGCACAAGGAGCTAATTAGACATTCTTCTTAAAAGCCAACAAATTTATGGTTTCCTCTATGGTTTTAAGGAGTATCAATGGACTGCCACTATCAAACTGTACAGCAGTTAGAAAGCTTTAGTTTCCATTATATTTTGCTACTACTTGGGTCCACAAGCAAGCACATAGATGATCCTTCTCTTCTTCCCTTTCTTTTACCCCAAGGGCGTAGTGCAAAAAAATGTTCTTTCTTAATCTGCTTTTATGAAATATGCTTTTTATCCAGTTCTTTCATCAGAAACAGGATGGGGTAGAAGTAAGGTCTGCGTACACACTACCCTCCCCAGACCCCACTTGTGGGATTTATACTGGGTCGTTGTTGTTGTTGCTTTTTATCCAGTTCTGTTCATTCCTGTATTATTGACACTACTTTCTTTCTTAAATGTTGACCAATCTCTCCTCCCTCCCTCCCTATTGGAGTGGTAAAGGACCAAAGACAATGATATCATGCTGATACGTAGCGCCATGCCAGTAATATTTTTATTTCACCAGCCACAAAGTGAATCATTTCAGACCTAGTACATAAAAACTGCTAGTTGACCAATGATTTTATGCAGAAAGGAACTTTAACATTTTTACAGATTGATGTTCATTTTCACATATCAAGAATTTTGGATTAAATTTTAACAGGCTTTTCAAAGCATCTGAATTGAGAGTTAATCCGCTGTAAGCAAGTATTAAGCTATCACTGAAATGCAAACATGCTTTAACAGTACCAATAAAATAGGACCATATATAATAGGAAAAATCTGATGAGGAGGAATTCACAAATAAATTCATATAATAGGGAAAATCTTGATAGTGGAATAAGGAGCTTCATAAAGAAACACAAGGTCATCAATCTTTTGATTTCCTTAAAGCAAAATGCACAAACTGTTGTACAAAATACCAACTATCCTATGTTTGTACTACTTGGTACTCACCAAATGCGCTTGAAGGACTACGCAACCATGCAAACTATTCCAGACAACTTCCCCTCCAATTATCCTATGTTTGTGCTACTTGCACCCTCTTCAGCTCTTCTTGATGTGATTATTCCTAATCTTGTCCAATTTTGTATGACGCACATCCATCTTAACATCTACATTTATACGACACTTATCCAGTGAAGAAGCCCAATATTCGTCCATACATAACATTGCTGTACTCATAGACATTCTACACATATAAAGCTCCTGTATCACTTCTCCATCTTTCATGTCATTCTCTTGGAAGACTGAGCCTAGGTAACTGGAATTTCTGCATTTAGTCAACACAGATCCCTTCAATGTGACTTCAATTATTGTTCTTCTTGTGAAGACTAAATTTCCAATATTATTATTTACCTCACTTCTATTTATGATAAATCCCCCATTCTCTAGAGTGCTTCTCCTAGTACCAGGATTTAGTTTACCCCCTCGCTGGTTTCCTCAATTAACATGATATCGTCAACGAATAACATGCACCATCAAACCCCATTTTGTAGTTCCTAACCTAATCCATACTTTGGTAAAGAAAACCGGGCTCAAGGAAGATCCATACATAAACTCACAATTATGGTGAACTCCCTTGTATCTCCTCCCATTGTTCTCACACTTGTGACTAGGGGTCGGGTCGGGTCAAAACGGGTAATGCAAAAATGGATGAATTATTCGACCAGACCTATATTTAATACGGATAGAAAATGGGCTAACCGGCGGATAATATGGATATCCATATTATCCATGGCTTTTTTAATATGATCACTTTTGGGAGAATTCCTAGTCTCAAACTTGAGAACCCCCAATTTGAGTCTTTAAATGTAAAAGTTAAAACCATAACTATCCATTGGTTATCCATTTTTTAAGTGGATAATATGGTTCTTATCCATATTTGACCCATTTTTAAAAAGTTCATTATCCAACCCAATTTTTTAGTGCATAATATGGATAGCTAACTGCTTTTTCTATCCATTTTTCCACCACTACTTGTGACTGTCACGTCATACATATGCTTTTTCGTGAATAACAGTTTAAAAAGTATGTAACGAATCAACACCTTAGTGCTATGTGGTGTAAATTTCCAATTAGCTAGTCAAATGTCCAATGCAAGAGCAACCAGACGCTAACAGGTTCACAGATACACCACATATACACACACACACACACGTGTAAAAGGTATAAATATAGACATCCTGCACTGCGTAAATGTCTCATCCTTCTCAGTGGAATGGCATCCAGATATGCCTCCAGATGAAAGCTTATGTCATGTAGAATGAGAGGAAATGAGAGAAGCTACAAAAACCAAGTCCTAAAAGTGATTGCTGTGTATTCTTACTGACATTCACAATGTGACTTGTTACACATAAAGCTATGCATGTTACAACAATTGTTTTCCTTTAGTATACCCTCTCAGCACAGTGTCCTTACCTTGCGATACCAATCTCTCATTACAAGGACAAAAGTAATTAACTGTAGATTACTTAAAGTTGAATGCGTTCATCTTCAAAGGTTGTGGTGAGGTTGTGGTGGGATGGTAAGTCCTTTTTATCCTTAACTAGAGGTCTCAGGTTCGAGCCTTGAAAATGAAGTCGCCTTTTGATACGAACTGGTCCACCGTCCAGCGACCACCGTACATGTGAACCACCTTGATGACGTGGACGCAAGCATCACGTGAGCCATCTTGATGATGTGGACGCAAGCATGTGGACCTAGGCCATGCTTACAATGATTGAAATACTTGGGCTTCAAGTTTTCCCTTTAAGGCATAAGATGAGTTCATTTGTAGAGAGCTAGATTTTGGATAATAGAAGAATTACCTTGTTGGGTAAGGTTTTGGGGATTGTTCCCTAGTTTCTCTCTTTGAACCTTTCTTGGATTGATCCAATGTGTGGATTTCCATGTATGAGTTCATGTCTCTTCTCCCATGGATTTATTCTAGTAATTAAATTTTAGTTTAATTGTTAGTTTATCCCTTCTTTCTTCTAAGTCTCTTCCCCCTCATTTTCTATTTCTAGATCTACCCTTGCTATCTTATCTTATTATTTGATTGTTTATCAATTTCTGGCTTCTGTGTATTTTAATTTGTATCATTTTGGTAAGAACCCCCCCCCCCCCNGGGAAAAAAAATTTAATGTCTTCGAGAATGTTTAACATAGCAAACTAACCAAGGAATTCAGGAAAACATACCTGAACAAGCATTAGAAGTGCTTCCCACACTTTGTCTCTGCTAACAACAGGTCCATAGTTTGGGTTAGGAGCAGAAGCAGGAGTGAGAGATGGAGGAGGAATCGGCGGAGGAAATGGTTGAAGCAAAGGAGCTCCATAAGGACGTTGGAGATTCCCAAGCGGAAGCAGTGGGGGAGCAGTGGGCACAGATGAAGAAACGGCAGGCATCAGCAGAGAGGAGGCGGTTGGAGGACCAAAAAATGATGATGGCTTCACAAGATTTGAAGACCATTTAGCACTGCTGTCTGATTCAGATGCATCAAGGAGGGGCCTCAAAAGGGAAGAAGTTGAAAGAGTCGGAGATGGAATCAGGGCAGGTGCTGAAGAGGGAGGAACAGCAGCAGCAGGACGAGGAGGAGGCAGGACCGGTGAAGATGAGTGGTATGGCTGCCCTGGAACTGTAGTACTCGGAGCATTCCCAATTGTCATAGCATTCTGCAGAAGAAAAGCACAAATTTAGTTAAGATGAGACATAGTAAAAATCAAAATTTCCAGCTGATTCTCTTTTAAGAAGTATTTATTACGTACGGACATGTGAAGAAGAGAGACACTGATGCCCTGATTAGGAGGTCTGAGAGGAGGGGTAGAGGGAGGCCTAAGAAGAACTGGGGTGGGGTGATTATGCATGACATGACTCTGCTCCAGCTTACCGAGGACATGACCCTCGATAAAAAGGTGTGAGGTCGAGAATTAGGGTGATGGATTGACAGACAGTCTAGAGTTTCGCCTTGTCTTACCAGTAGTATTAGTACTAGTCGTGTATTTTCCTATTCCTAGTCCCTTGTTTTTATACGGTTTGTCATTATTATCAGCAGAATTGGCACTATTCTTGTAGTTTAGTATCCCTTGATCTCTGTTATTACTCGTTGTATCATTTGCTTCTATTCTCTTATTATCTTGTTGTTGCTATTGTTTATCTATTGCTTCATTTTTACTTTTTTTGAGCCGAGAGTTTTTCGGAAACAACCTCTCTACCTTCATAAGGTAGGGGTAAGGTCTGCGTACACACTACCCTCCCCACTTGTGGGATTTCACTCGGTTTGTTGTTGTTGTTTTTTATGGTTTTTTTCCTTACCAACATACATCATTAACTGTTGGCGGGATATCTAATTAATGTTTTTAAGGAAATTACTGCACAGAGCAAGCTTGGACCATATCTTCTTTTTTACTTCAGGGTCAATTCATGGCCTAAGTTCAAGTCCTAGTACTCCTTGAGACTTCATCCAAGTCATTACCTAGAGTATAGACAGTGTTCTACCCTTGTATATATATTTTTTTCAAATAACGGTGGTGTTCGGCCAGCTTGCTCACACTCGACTAATTTCAGCACCCTGCTACCTCCCACCAGCATAGGTACCGAGTAACTCTGTCCACCATGGCAAGCCAAATGGGAAGAAATAACCTAGTATTTTTGTCTCCACTGGGATTTGACCTGAGACCTCATGGATCTCCACCAACTTCATTGACCCCCTAGACTACACTGAGTGCTTTAATTTTTAAATACAAACATGCAGCTTGCAAGTACCTATATGCCCTTGTATATTGGGGTCAAATATGAAATAACAGGTTTAGCTTGAAAATGCACAAGAGTAGCTATCACTTGTTCGACTAACATACTGAATGCATATTACATATACCCCACTAATACTTGAGAAAAGTTGTTCTACACAAAATTAAAGATCTGAAAACAAATGCCCAACAAGAGTAACTGAAGATCTTTAAAAGGCACCGACACATGGAAAAGATATTCCTCACTAAGATATCTTGCACAACAGACACGATATATTGGAAGAAGAGCAAAGAAAAGGGAGAAAAAAAAAAGCATACACTGAAGAAGTTCAAAAAGGCATTTTCCTCAGGGAGGTGCGGAGCATTTGAGGCAGTAGACGACGATGGCTCCAGAGGACCATCAATTACAGCCATGGTTGGAACTGCTTCCAGCTCTTCAAATTCACTGTAGTAAAATTGCAGATAACCAAAAGTTCCTTTCAGAAACCGATTAACAGCAACTGGCATCAGTCAAAAAAAATTGAGTAAATGGCTAGCAGTGAAAGAGATTACTCCGAAAAGTTAACATGGAGGGAGTGGGGAGATTAAAGTTGACCTAAAAATTTCCTTCTTCACCTTGTGGTTCATTACTTAACCTACCACCCTGGTTGCTTCAACCAAATATCAGGTCATTCATCAAGTTAATCAGACAGGTAAGCATCGAGTGAGAAGCAGACATGTCTACTAACACTTCTCCCAAAACCAGGCAGCTTACTTGCGGTAAAAAATTCTACTATTTGAAGAGTTGACTTGGGAATTGAAACATATCTGATTGACCAAGTCCCTTCATCTGGCTGTCATCAACATTTATCTACTATGCACCTTTTCAGTAAGATTTAACTTAGGCACAACTCTTCAAATGTCAAGATGAAATTCAATAATCGATACAAAGGTCAAGAAATCTATCACGAAAAGTGCAATTGTAAAAATGCTGAAGTTGTTTTAATACCCTAACATCTTAAATTTTTATTTTTATTTGGAAAAGCTCGCTAGAAGTATCTTAATTCCAGTAAGCATGAAATGAAATACCTTTTTGTCAGTGGTACTTTTGACTTGGTAGGCACCTTGGAATATGCACCGAGTATCCTGATCACCAGCAAACACTAAATTTATTGACAGGTTTAAAAAGCTAATCATCAAAGATAAAATGCATGGGATGATCCGAAAGGTACTTCTTTTAATCCCTTTGCTTCTCATTAGCCGGTTATACAATTTAGTTAACTAGTATGCTGTTGGAAGTGCTGGTTTGCAACACTAGGCACCAATGCTCCATGCATTCTCAGTTCCATATAATCCTCAATTAACAGTTGAACTTAACTTTATGAACTATTTCTTCAAAGCATCAAGTAGGCTTTAAAATATTTTAAATTTATTTCTGCAACTACGCTATGACCTATTAGACATTAGCTTATACTCAGGACTGTTATAAGTAACAATTTTTCCACTATATCTTAGAATCATCTACTAACCACAGATATTCCCACATATGCATTCCCCAAATCATGATCAGAAGCATTAACAATTGAGTCCTTCAAATGCTGCATCATGCAAATTTAACTACCTTTTGTCCTAGAATTAACACCCTATACATTTTGGAACCAAAAAGACAACCCAAGGCAAAAGAGAAAAGAGGGTGGGGAAGAAAGGGAGCATTTCTGGAGAGAAAAGCTGAGAAATATTACCTGTCAAAGAGATTTGCAACTTCTTCACATTCACGCTGATTATAAAACCATATCCCATTTACTTCTTGGGAAGCATTTCGATACAACAAATATGGAACCTGGACCTCATACTCAAAATCCCCCAGGAGATCCTCCACCAAATTATCTGCACACAGGAATGAACTCTTTGTAAGGCACAAAAATTGAACAAACGTACTCACGCTGAAGGCAAACTCACAAACGTTCTGTTGCAACTTATCAGTAAATATGACATTCATATGAGAACCTTTACACGCCAAATCTCATTTCTGCATGACTCGTAGAATTGGAACCCAGAGTTTTAGCGCCAAGACAGAGGCACTAATAGCAAAGTGTTGAGTGTTGTTTCAACTAAAGCTTAGTGGTGAAGCCACATATAGAAAGGCAAAGGAGGCTTGTCGAATCAAATCTCTCGTGTCTGTCAATTACCTCGGAACATGCAAATGTGAAAGGACACTTGGTTTTCTTTCTTTTATTAACTAAGTTAGAAAGAGTCCTCAGTGTTGTGCATTCCTTCTCGTTTATTGAATAATAATACATTGAATTGTTATTTCCATCTGCCAGAATATATATTTTGTGGACAGGGTTTAGTAATTTGATAACTAATTAGTCAACACCCAAGCGAGAAATTTTATTAAGAATATGAGTGACATCAGGTATCCAATTTTATCAACGGAGAAATCATTTGCCTGCTATTGGTGCGAGTTGTAAGAACCTCCCCCCCCCCNATAACTAATTAGTCAACACGCAAGCCAGAAATTTTATTAAGAATATGAGTGACTTCAGGTATCCAATTTTATCAAATGAGAAGTTATTTGCCCACTATTGGTGCGAGTTGTAAGAACTCTTGGTCTTGAGTCGAACCGGGGCATCATTTCATTCTCGTAACACTAATAAGCTTACCACGAGACCAGACCCCCCCTCCCCCCCTCCTCGTAGTAGGCATTTTATGTTCTAAGACGGGGCCTCTTATTCAAAGATAGTCCAACTGCATTCTTCTCTCCTGCTTATTCAATTAACATTCTGTGGATCCGTACTGACACCCAATTAAATGACTTCAAAAGGAAAGACGAGCCTTCATATTAAAAATTCACATCTGAGTGAAGCAAGTGAGCGGTCCAAATGTTAAAGCAAGGATTTTATAAGTATCTTTGTGTACTTATTTGTTAAAGGATTTTTAACCTCCCCCACCGCCACCACTGTAACTCTACCTCTGACCCAAAGTGAATGTCATGTAATTTACATTGTTGTGATGCAGTAAAGGCTATAAATAGTATTAGTACAATCCGGGATCAAATAGTCAATCATGTATAACTTCATGAACATCTTTCAACAGGGAAAAAGCAAGATACTTTCTAATCAACCAAACACAAAATGCAAGTGGAGAGTAATTGTGAAACTGACCTGTATTTCGTCGGTTCATAACAATAAACTGAAACCGCGGTTGAGAACTCCTGTAACACCCTCTGTAAAAATTAATCATCACAAAATAGAAAAATACAGAACGCAAAATCAAAAATCAAACAAATAATCTATTAAAGATGAGTTTCCTAATACTCGCCTCTTGACAACAAATAGAGATCCTTCCACATCCTTTCGACTCTGTATAAGCAATTCAATTACAGATTATATTAAATAGAAAGAGCAAAATAAATAAATAAATTCGGAAAATTGAATTACCCATTGGCTGTTATCGATGTTGAATTCGTAGAAGGTAACATGAGCAGCAGTGATAAGAATTTCTTCAATGAAAGGATCGATACGCTGAAGAACGGTCAAGTTGAGGAGCTTGGTGCTGTTCTGGTCCAGATTCGGCATTAATTTTCCGTTCTGTGACATTATTTTCACCGAATCTTAGAACGGCAAAGTAGCTGTAAGCTGAGGTTCCGAGTGTGAGAGAAACCCTAGGATTGCTCCAGATTGAAGAAAATTTGTGCTTTGCTGTATATATCTGATGAGAGAGATGGAAGAGATGACGAACAGGGGTCAGGGTACAGACACATGTATTTAGTTTTCTTTTTCCTCTTTGTTTTTAATAAAAAGTTTTTATCAATATTTTTTTGTAAAAAAATAAAAAGTTCCTATAAATAATTTCTTTTCGTAAGTTAAGATAGTCCATCTCAACTTGTTTGACAGTGAAGCATGACTGCGGCTCCCCATTTGGAGTGCTAGATGGATTCCAAATACTCCCCTTCTGTGTAGAAGTGAGGAACTCACTTGTTGTGAGATTGAAGAAAGGGTAATAGAGGGGGAGTTCTCTCTCAATGACACTAGAACCCACTGTAGTTTTTCCCAAACCACTTCCCATATTCCCCCAAAACAACTAGATATAGCAACTTCTAACGCCATCAATAGTGATCCAAGGGAAAATAGTGTATCCATTCTTCAGGAATCCCCCTCCTTTAAAGATAAATTACTCAATGATACTATTCTACACAACACTGCACTCCTTTTTGAAAATCAAGTAGAGCAGTCTTCAGAGCCTATGAACTACACCAAGGACTACACCTCGAGTGACTTGAATACATTAAATGAAAGCTACAAGGTTAACCTATCATTTGAGGATATGCAGGTATTTATTATCGTTGGAAATACTCGATAATCATAAAGCTCTTAGGGAAGCGTATTATGCACCACTACCTAAGGAAGAAAGTTCAAGAACAATGGAAGATAACTGAAAACTTCCCCTTAATCGATTTGGGTGCAGATTACTACGTTGCTAAATTTACAAAGGAAGAAAACCTAGCTAAAGTCCTGCACCAAGGTCCATGGTTCATCAATGGACATTTTCTTTCAGTTCAAAAGTGGGTGCCAAACTTTGTGACATCAGAAGCTAAGCCCCTCAATACTGTTATCTGGGTTCGCCTCCCACACCTTCCGACTGAATTTTATGATGGAGTGATTCTTAGGAAAATTGGGAACACCATTGGAAGATTGCTAAGAGTCAATGCATGTACTTCGGCTACCCTAAGAGGTGGTTATGCCAGAATCTGTGTGGAAATCCCCATGGAACAACCAGTTAAATCTTTTATATTTATTGGGACACACAAGCAATCCATCCAATATGAAGGAGAGAACTTTCTCTGCAAAAAATGTGGTAGACTCGGTCATATTAGCCCACACTGTCCTCATTCCATGTCAGCAATGGTTCCAAAAGATAAGGAATTGCAGAGTTCCCAGAAGAACCATCAACATCCATGCAGTGAAACTTGGGAAAAAGTATCGTTTAGCAAGCCCAAAAGCAGAGGCACGCGACCAAAACCAACTGCTTTTAATGACTCAGAAACACCAGGTATTAGTGTAAAGATCTTTAATGCAGACACGGGTAAGTTCCTTCAAACCTAGAAATTAAAGTTTGTAGAGAAAGATACTTATGATAAATCTTTAAAATTAAAAGGTATCAATAATACATCAAACGTTATTAACAAAGATAACCACATTCCCACTAATAATAAATTCCACTCCTTATTCTTAACGCCCACAGATACCATTGATAACCAAGATCTAATGGTTTTGGAAGAAAAATCTGACCATTGCATGGAGGGTAAGTTGTGCTCAACCACCCCATCTAGCTTACACGTGAAAAACATTGATAACCCACCCTCCTTCATGTCTCAATCATTAGTTAAGTCTACAATTAGCAATAATCAACCGATAGGTAATAATCCTAAAAAAGATCAATCGTCTAAAATCCATCACTAAAGCCAACCAATAATCGAGGCTCTTCCACACCATACCATCATTCATACACACCCATTGGGTGATACAATGTTCAACCCAAATGCATTACCACAACACTTGTCCACTTCCTTAGTAGAATTTGAACAAATGGACACTACCCTAAAGACGTGGCTACTACTAAATCTTCAGATAATCCCTTACGCTTCCCCACTCCAATCCCATGCACATAGATCCTAACCCTATAAAGTTATCTACTGTCTCACCTCCAATCAAGTGTGTAAGCAGTATAAACTCCCCTATAAGTCCCAAAGAGCCTCAAGATGCCAAGATTTCTTTACTCACTGAGAAGGAGAAACAAACTTATCCAAGTTCTCCGTCAAACTCCACGCTCAACTATGAACAACCTACCCCCACTTCCCTCGCAACTTTCAAATCCAACAGTTTACTACACCTCACCACCACTACCCCCAAACTACCAACCCTTAAGTTGAATGGAAGCAGGCTTAATAGACCATGCGATCTTCTTCAATATGGAGATCAATGGTCAGGACACTGTCATAGTGATCCAAAACACCCCCTACCTGGCCCAACTTATATCAGAGGGGGTGAGATTAGCCATGAACAACTTCATGACTCAAACCTGGATCAACGACGTGCTTCATCCACTTGCACCAACTATGAATGCCAACCTGCTTCAAGCCATGCAAAGCCACTGAAATCTCCCATCACGAGCAAACCCACATATTCCAATTCCCCACACTCTGGATCTTCCTTTCTTTTTACTAGAGGAGATCTCTCCACTCAGTCCCATCCTCATTCCATGGGATTCCCATGCAAACTAGGATCCAGTCAACATGCCAAAGAAGATGGAGAACAATCCACCTCCCAACGAACAAGGTCAAAGAGGAAATCAAATGGAGGAGGAGGAGGAATTGGATCCCCCACGGAGCTAAGTGTAGAGTTTGCAAACCTAAACGAGGTAAAGGTTCTGCTCTTCAAGGAAAACATGAGCAAGAAATTCATATTCAACTGTCCTCCCTCAGTGTACAAACGCTCGATGGACATAAGGCCACCAAGGGACCCAACGGTGGGCTCTCATGCAAGTGATCTTAGTGCCATGCAACAGAATGAACCCCAACCCCTCTTTGGAGGCAGTGACCAACTCAAACCATCAAAATCTAATGATGATGAATAGAACCACAAGCATCATTTTCTGGAACGTGCGTGGATCAAACAATGAAGATTTTCGTAGGAACTTTAGAGAACTCATATATACTCACAAACCCTACTTAGTAGCCTTGCTTGAGACTAGGATGTCATCCAATGCAGCCTTACTTAACGATTATAACTTCACAGAAATGATCGAGGTGTCAGCTGAAGACCAATCTAGTGGCTTAGTTGTTCTCTATGATCACAAGATTGTTACTGTGAACAACTTTACTAGAATGGGACGGGAAATCCATGCAATGATTGAGGTAATCCCCTACAAATTTTCTTGGCTTCTTAGTACTGTTTATGCAAGTACAAATGTTTATATAAGAGAGTCTATGAGGAACTACCTAGAATATATTGCTAACAACTTTAATGGAGCCTGGTTATTAGGAGGTGATCTTAATGATATAACTATGGCTTCTGAAAAATTTGGAGGTAGGACAATAAATTACGCTAGAACCAATAGGATTTGGAACCATATAAATAACTGTAAACTAATTGACTTAGGATTCAAAGGGTGTAAGTACATTTGGTCTAATCACAGAAATAGGCACAAAGGCCTTATCATGGAAAAATTGGATAGGTTTTTGGGCAATGAAAATTGGTTAAGTCTCTTCCAGGCTCCTCAGTAATGCATTTGCCTAAAACCTACTCGGATCACAATCCCTTACTTCTTAAGCTCAACTCTTTTTAGGGTCCTCTACTCACAAACCCTTTAGGCTAGAAAGCATTTAGTGCACCCACCCCGACTTCACTAGTATAGTTTATTCTTACCGGGATAACAATAACTTTAAATCGGCCACACACGATTTTGTTCTCAATATTACCAACCGGAGTAAAACTACTTTTGGGGACATCTTTAAGAAAAAAAAAAATTGGCTAGACTCAATGGTATTCAATGCTCACCCCATTACGCTACTAGTGTATTCCTACAAGTGCTTGAAATATCCTTACAAAAAGATTATAATAGCTTCCTAAAACTAGGGGAGGACTGCTGGAAGCTTAGAGCAAGGGTTAATTGGCTTAATGATGGAGACGCCAATACAAAAATTTTCCATATTAGTGCCACAATAGAAGAAGGCGAAATCACATAAACTACTTCAAAAATAATTACGGAAACTGGATTGATAACCCTAACAATCCTTCTACACGTTCAAAATTACTTTGAGGAAGCTTTCACTACATCCCATATTCTCTCAGAAAAATCTAATCTACCAAAAAGTTTTGATCACCAAGACCTATCCAGCCTAGACAGACCTCTTTGTGATAATGAAATTCAAAAAGCCTTATTCTCCTTTAAACCATATAAAGCCTCTGGGCCGGATGGCTTCCACCATTTTTTCTACCAAAATTATTGGAAAACAGTTGGCCCTAGTGTTATTACATATTGCCAAGAGATCTTTGCTTCACACCATATCCCCTTGGAAAATAATAGCACTTTCATTTGTCTCATTTCTAAAATCTCTAATGCCAACAACCTTAAATTTTTTAGGTCAATCAGTCTTTGCAACATCATCTATAAAGTGATTACAAAATCATTACTAATAGACTGAAACCTTTTTTGGATAAAATCATTAGCCTTTATCAAGCTAGCTTCCTGAAAAATAGGCGAGCTATTGATAATGCTATTTTAATTCAAGAAATTATGAACCATTTCAGGAAAAGTAATAGTAATAAAGGCAAAATGATTCTCAAACTTGACTTAGAAAAAGCCTTCGATAAGCTTGAGTGATCCTTTATCCATAAAACTTTAATATACTTTAAGTTCCCTCCTAAAATTACCTCTCTCATCATGTCATGTTTTACTACTAGTATTATGTCCGTGCTAGTTAATGGTACAACCACAAAATGATTCACCTCAAGTCGTGGTATTAGGCAAGGTAACCTATGTTGCCATACATCTTCATTCTTTGCATGAAAATGTTTAATAGATACATAAACCACCAAATGGACATTAAAATGTGGGATCCTATAATCTCTCTGCGAATGGTTTAGCTCTTTCTCACCTCTTTTTTGCAAATGACCTCACCCTAATGAGACACATTAACAAAAAGTCTT